TTAAATCCTTTTAAAAACACTTGTAAATCCTTTTAAAAAACCTTTAAAAATCCTTGTAATTTTTTAAAATCCTTTAAAAATTCTTGTAAATCCTTTTAAAACTGTTATAAACTTATAAAACTTTTAAAAACCATTGTAAATCATTTAAAAACCATTTAAAAACCTTTGTAGGCTTCTAAAACTCTTTAAAAACCATTACAAATCTTTTAAAAACCATTTAAAAACTCTTGTAAATCCCTTTAAAAACCCTTGTAAACCCTTTAAAAGCCCCTTTAAAAAATCTTGTAAACCCTTTAAAAAAATGTTGGCGGGAAAATTTTGAAAAAATAATTTTTTTTTGCGGGAAAATTTTTGCGGAAATTTTTTGGCGGGAAAATTTTTTCTCGGAAACTTTTTTGGCGGGAAAATTTTGGCGGGAAAATTTTTTGAAGGAATATTCCTTCCTTTGGGAAAGAATATTCTTTCAAATAGGGGTAAAATAGCCACTAAAAATTAAGAGAGGGCAAAAATGAAAATGGTAAAAAAAAGGGTATTTTTAAAAGAGGGTATCATAAAAAGGTTATTGGTATCAATTTCTCTTTCAAATATGAAAAATTGTAAACTTTTATATTGTTTATAAGGTACATCTAGATCATCATTACTATTGGAAGACTCAATACAAATATTTATAAAGTTTTTAAAAGGTTCTAAACAGCATTTATGACTTTTATAAGGTTTTTATAAGGTTTAAAAAGTTTTTATATGTTTTTTAAATAGTTTTAAAACATTTTTAAAAGGTATTTATATGGTATTTAAATTTACACACATATAAAGATAATTTGTGTCTAAATATATAAGCTTACACTTTTTTTTTTTATAAATATCAATTTTTTAATTTTTAATTATCAAAAATACCCGTTTTCCATACCACTTTTTAAAAATACTTCTATTTCAAACTTTATAAAAAAAACCACTTTAAATGTTGAAATTTATCGAGATATGTGTGAAAACTTATAAATATACACACAAATTACCTTTATATATGTTTAAATTTTTATATATCTTTCATAAACAGCGTAAAATAATTTATAAATACATTTTAAAAACCTTATAAACCCTTTTAAAAACTTCTTAAAAACCTTATAAAACTTGTAAAAACGATTTAAAACCTTTTAAAACATTATAAAATATTTGTTTCAAATTTCCAAGTAGTAGTTATTATATAGAAGTACCTTATAAACTATATAAAACTTTATAATATTTCATATTTAAACATGGATATTTTTGAAAATGAATAGATAAAGGAGGTATTTTTGAAAAGGGGTACACCAAAAGGGGTATTTCTCAAAAAATTTCTTTAATTTTTTATAGTTTTTTTTAATGTTGTTTAAAAATTCTATTTGTATCTTAATATTAACAAAATTAGATATAACATATTGCGACATCTTATGTTTTTACTTGACACTTATCATGATCACGTGAGTTAGTACATTTAAAAACCAAGTTTTGACATATAATCTCGTTTAATTGTTAAACTTAAATCATAATTTTAATTTATAAAGATAAACCATAATTCTTATTTATCATTTATATACCCAAACCAACAAATAACCTGATTTAATTGTAAAATTAAAGTTTAAACCTTAATCCTCTTCTGTAAACAAAAACCGCCATATATTCTTGTTAATTATAAATTTTAAATCCCTGTCTTATTAATAAACCAAATTGACATAACTCAAATTAGATTATTTGTTTAATTTTATTAATAATTTTTAATATATAATTCTTTATAATATTTATTTTATATATTTCCTTCTTCGATAGGGTTAATAATATTTATATTTTATCCAAAATATTAACAAAATTAGTTATGCCACGAGTTAACATTTTATCGTTTATAATTGACACGTGTCACGATCTTGTTAACGGCTGACTTTGAAAACCAAAGTTTATATAATAAGATTTAACTTTATACTATTTAAGTTTATAGGGAAAATGTAGACTTTGTTTACTTAATATATAATTTATGCTATATTATGAATTTTACATTTAATCTACAGTGTATAACTAAATATGTTTTAGGTCCCATCTTCTAATGGAACCTAGTATATTTCAAAACGAAAGATTAGCTATCTCCAAGATTCTTTGAATACCTAATTTAATTTAGTTTAAATATCTAATTTTAAATTAGTTTAATGGGGTTAAAGTAATATAGGTTAATCATTTAAAATACCAAGCACTAAACAAAAGATAAAATTTTAAGTCCTTTACATACTCATAAATTATGTCATAATCAATCATAGACATGCAAGAATTAATAGATAGACGTACAAGAATAGATATAGTTACGACACTAACACACAAGATGCAAAAGTCAGGATGATATCATCCAAATTGATCGGACAACCAAACCAAAATGCAAGAAAATCTAACACAAATGCTATACATATTTTATAATCTAACACAAAGCTAAAAAAAAAAGATAGAGAAAATATTTTTTTTCAACAAAACTAACATTGAAAAATCAGTTGTCCATTTTCAAACAACCAAACAACATATATCAAAAGGCAACCGCTTAATTTTGACATCAATCATAAAAAATATGTGACTAAAACAAAAGACACGGTAAAGAGTCAAGAAATCTCCATTGCATGTTCTATCTAAATAAATACACCAATGATTCAAAAGAGTTTCAAAGTTCCATCGACTATGTAAGACAAAGAGACCACATGAAAGCTAGGCACTAGTGTAATAACAGAGATAGTTCAATCATTGTATTGTAAAAATTCAATCCAACGAGTACAAATGGTAAAGTCTAACACAGTAACCATCAGTGTATGATGCAAAAGTTGTGAATGCCACTTCACATACCAAGGAATCAGAGCAAAACATGAAACAAATACATTCATGACTCAAGTAAAATACTACCATGCATAATCTGCGTGAGCCTCAAAACTACGTTTAAAATACATGCGTGATGCATTCATTTCATAAAACAAGAGACCTTATGATAATGCAGAATTCCAAAATGTCGTTTCACATGCTTAAAACAAACACCAAGAGTTTAGAGCATAACAAAAAACAAATACATTCTAAGATTCAATAATACTATTACCATAATGTGCGAAAAACCATATACGTTAAGAAACCATATCTACAGGAGATGATTATATTTGGTAACATGAAGGAATCTACTATACATAGAAACAGCAAAACGGAGATAAAACGTATTTTAATCAAGCAATTGTAATGTTCCAATAGTCAAAGTAAAATCTACCTTTTCTAAGTGTATAATGTAGACTTTTAGGATGTCATTCATATGTTTAAAACAATCACCAAAGGTAGAGAGAGCATGCAAATCAAATACTTTCAAGATTCAAGGAAACTACAATCACAATCTACAGAAAGACAAGCATCTACAAGAGACTCTAAGCTGCATCCATTATATGAAATAATAAGAGACCTTATGAGAAGATTAAAACAAAATTTTAAACTCACAATGTGCTCATCTAGAAACTCAAGCAATTTTTATGATCTTGAAACTGAAAATACCTTGTCTCTCGAACTGGAATCTGTCCCCGACCGCATCATCTGTAAGGGTTGATACATCATAATCGGACTTAAAGAGAACAATATACGTACCTCGGAGTGAAAGACTTTCTCAAATAATCAAAGGCTCTTTTCCTAGGGAAGATTCAGCTACCCAGTGTAGTACCCCCTAAAGATAAAAGAAAAAAAGTAATAGTTAGAAAGAGCCACGAAACTGTAGATATTATAAAGATGGCCAAACAAAAGAACATTTGGCTTTGACTTTTTTCTCAGGGTTATATTTCGCATGAATCTCACGAACTGTTTCATTTTCATCAGCAAAGAAAACATTGGCGCACTTAAATGGGAAAGCGTATCTGCAAAAAGCAGGAAGCACATATTAGTCACAAATGATTCATAAACAAAGAAAATGAGCTAGTTTGATAATGACTTCACATTCTTGCAGTTGTTGAGATCTAAATATGTCATCTTGGTGAAATGACTTAGCTGGTTTGACAATGACTTCACATTCTTGTAGTTGTCATGGCAAAGCTCCATCAACCAGTATCTGCAAGGATGTTGACTTGCATCAGAGACTTTAACCAATGAACTGAGGTTCCTACAGTTAAAAAAGAGTGACTGTAGTATGAAGAGTTCCAGGGAATGTAATAACCCGTAGTATGAAGCATGCCGGGTTTTAAATTCAAGAGTACATAGCTACTATTATGCAAATGTAAGAAAAAGTCAAAACCACAAAGATAATTTTAAGAACAGCAGATGCTTTAGATTCAGAAGGCATTCTCAAATACTGTAAGTGAAATAGTGCGTGACAAAATGCAGCTATTGAAGTTATACCAAAAGATCTATAAGAGGACATACCTGTAAGTCCTAGCTTGCAGTGAGATTTTGTGATGCTGATAACTTTCCTAAACATATGAATAGAAACTTGTTATGACTATTCCGTACAGTAACTACAAACAAACACTAACTTCAATTTTTAAAGACACACGTAACATTAACAACTGTTTGATTACCTCGTCCATGAGTAGCAATCCGACTCTCTGTTTCTCATTTCTTCTATAACCTTCTCTGATTCATCAGATCATTTACCACCAAAGAAAACCATGTTATAGTTTGTCACAACAACACCAGCAGTTTTCAAAAGTGAAACAGCATAGATGGTCATCTCTTATAGTAGACCACAACTTGAATTGGAAGGCCCATTGATAACTCTTCTTCACCAAAAAAAAGACAACTCTTCTTTATACGAGCCGCAGCATAAACACCAACTAGAGATTTACCAGCACCACAAGACAACACTACAATCTCAGATCTTGCTCGTCCTGCTGAATCAAGATTCTAGATCAGTCACAATCTTTCACGAATATAACAAATATACTACTTATGTATCAAGATTTCACAATAAAACTAGATAAGAATATTGTATAAAAGGACAAATTAAAATATCTAAGAGAAGTTCACTATCAATTTTGCAGTCGCGGGATAAAAGAATTGCTGTCATAAACCTACAGTGCATCATATCATCTTGTAAGCAATAATTGGCCTGAAGTGCAAATGTTTTCCTCACATTTTCGTTCTTGAAGTCGTATTCCTCTAACATAGGGTAATTCAAAGCATTTGGTATGCAAATCTGCTTCACAATCTCCACCTACACACCAAGAGCAAAAGAACATGACACTGCGAGCTAAGTAAAAATCACAGAACATTACCAAACTCATTAACACAATTAATTTTACACACTATTTTTCAGCCGCATTAGGGAAAGTTTACCTGGCAGTTATGTTGCACTCAACAGCTCTTTAGTTCCTAGTTCAGTTTCACCACTTTTTTTGCCAATCGTAAAAACATCACCACCATAACATGGCTAGCAAAAAATGTTAAACTAAGTTGGTTCAAGATAATGTGGAGAACACATAATAGTATAATAAACATGAACTCTACATGCAATGAATCAAAAAGTATAAGAAGAAGGAAACATAGTTCCAAGGAAATGTATAAGTCTGCCACATTAGTGAGAAAAGACGCAAAAAACCGTTGAGACCAACTGATCATGGATCATGGTATGTATTTCACTCGAAGTTAAAAAAGAAACCGCGAAAGGCAATCATAATGCACAAAATGGAGGAGTTAAACGTACCTCAGAAGCAAATCTAGCTCAGTTCATGTCATCATCACTAAGAAGCCTTTTCAACGCCTGAGACAGTTTTGTATTTACAATTGGGCAAAAGCAATGTAAAAAAAAGAAACCAAGATCCCAAATACAAAAGAGAAGAGAAAGAGAATAAGCCTCGTGAACTTAAATAACGATTCTTCTTCGATACCAGCTTCACTTTTTCAGAGGCCTATTTCCATGATCTGGCTTCAACTCCAATGTAGAAAAATCTATCCCCTCCTTCGCCTTCAAAAGCATTACAATCTCTATCCAATTAGTTCTAAATGTAATCACTGTAAAAATTATGCTACAATACAGCAAGAGTAGTCAATTCAATCTTCATCAGCTTCATCATAGTAATCTTCAGCGTTTTGGATGTTCTTCATCTTTTGATCATCCTGAGATATTCAACAGTAAAATTACACAAACTACCATTGAAAGAGCCCTAAATAATTAAAATAATCATCTGAAGAGAATTCAACACGAACCTTCCCATCATACTTCATCTTCTTGTTGGGTCTTCCTGGTTCCCCTGCACATAAAAAAGTTCTCAGTATTGGCATACTTTCTTGGCCAGATAATTCGATAAACTAAACAAATATCAGTAAGATGGGAATTCTATGTAACCAGAGATGATTCTAGTTTCACTTCCCTTTCTTCAATAGGCAATAAGGTCATACATATTAAATCTGTCACTCTGCATATCTTGCTTCATTCTTAGTGTTGCCTTCCTCTCCTCAATCATTCCTAGTCTCATTTCCTCAAAAAGTTTTAGAGATTCTTCAATAGGCATGTCCCTCTAGAGGCTGTTCATTTTCTTCTCTATGTACTCTTTTGTATCCTCTGAAAGTATAAAAACAATTGAATCTCTATATTAGAAAAGTTTAAATTGATATAGCCTGATGAAACAACATTACCATGACCTCTTCAAATCAACTCCACTGCCAAATCATACAATTGTTGGAAATAAACACTGGTGTATATAATCAAGAAAAAGCCAATGGTAAATGTCAGATGAATTCAAAAACACAATAATAAAAACAATGAGCTACTAGTACAAATAAAAATGTGGCGATACCTTGAAGGCTTGAAGTGTTCCCATCCCATCCAGTTTAACAATTTCTTAGGTACAATTAATATACTCTTCGTTCTCTGCCTCAGGATTTGTATCAAGAATTAGTCCCAAGGATGAAAAAACTCTACAACTTTAGTGTCTACCATATACACAAAAAGAGAAAGACATGGAAGCAGATGCAAACACATCAATGTGTTTAGAAAAGGAAGCTGGTGACTTAACTTCAGACGCTCGGACAAGACAACCCAGGAAGGATGAAACTCAAGAGAAAAAGCTTCCAGGAATCCTCCACAGTCATCCACGCAAAAGCAGCCACTGTATTCACCTGATAAGAAGAAACAAAATCCCAATAAAGAAAGAGCTACCAAATCAATGAGACTATCAACATATTATGAAGCATTTACGTGTCTCTCACATGTGAATTTCATTATGATATCAACTAATTACAAACAAGTTTGAAAAGCACACAGAAACAGAAACAAAAACAAAAGGTTTGAAAAGCATATACCTGGCAAAGAAGTCTGCAGCACTTTAAATCTACTCAAAGTCTCAACAATCAGAACGCTTTCAGAAGAACATACCTGAGGAAATCAGAGTTAGTTAGTCTTCAGTTTACGTGAATGTCCTATACTTACCTTGTTTTTTCAAGATTTTGGTCGTATTTTCAGTCCCATCCCAAGTCTATTGACTCTTTGTCTTATGGTTTTTCAAAGTCGTTTGACTCTTTGTCTTATGGTTTTTCAAAGCCGTGGGTACCAAAGTCTTTCGACTCTTTGTCTTATATTTTCCAAAGCCGTGGGTACCAAAGTCTTTTCGACTCTTTGTCTTATGGTTTTTCAAAGCCGCGGGTACCAAAGTCTTTTGACTCTTTGTCTTATGGTTTTTCAAACCCGTGGGTACCAAAGTCTTTCGACTCTTTGTCTTATGGTTTTTCAAAGCCGTGGGTACCAAAGTCTTTCGACTCTATGTCTTATGGTTTTTCAAAGCCGTGGGTACCAAAAGTCTTTCGACTCTATGTCTTATGGTTTTTCAAAGCCGTGGGTACCAAAGTCTTTCGACTCTTTGTCTAATGGTTTTTCGAAGCCGTGGGTACCAATTGTGAGAACTCTTCGGTTCTATTCACTCTATGTCTTATGGTTTTTCAAAGCCGCGGGTACCAAAGTCTTTTGACTCTTTGTCTTATGGTATTTCAAAGCCGTGGGTACCAATTGTGAGAACTCTGTGGTTCTTCTATTTAGTCTTTGCCGTAAGACTTTTTAAGCCACATTGTATTCCCAACCATCAAGCCGAGGGTACAGATTGAGAGAACTCTGTGGTTCTTCTATTCAGTCTTTTGTCTTAAGACTTTTTAAGCCATATGGCATTCCCAACCAACAAGCCGAGGGTACAAATTGAGAGAACTCTTTGGTTCTTTTCAGTCTTTTGTCTTAAGACTTTAAGCCATATGGCATTTCCAACCAACAAGCCGAGGGTACAAATTGAGAGAACTCTTTTGTTCTTTTGAGTCTTTTGTCTTAAGACTTTAAGCCATATGGCATTCTCTTTGGTTCTTTTGGTGACACCGAGCCAATCAATAGTTGACAACTTTCCTCGGGACAATGTCTCCAAAATAGAATCTGACAGAACACTATTAGATTAGTGTCTGCCCATGATCTTTTTTTGGGCTGTTAAAGAAAAAAAGCAAAAATCTTGAGTTTTGAATATCACAATGATACAGAAGTCAATTGCTTAAATACGGAAACAATAAATCTCATAAGAATTGGATTAATCGTTTGCCTTCAAATTTCAATCCTCTGAAAATTGAAAAACACAAACAAAACGGGAAAGACAGAGAAATACCTGGTGAAAGAAAAGTCAGTCTGAAATCTCTTTAAGACCTTTAGAGATTGAATGCGAAAAGTTAAAATATCGTTCCAGTAACATATCAAGAAACTAAGACTTCACCAAAACAAAACCCATCTACTACACAAAGAGCATGGATCAACTAGAAGAGAGTACCTGAGACTAGAAGCACCATCTCCTTGCCTGAATAGCAACATATTCATCTGATGGAGCAATGAGTGCATATGAGGTGGTAACCCTCAATTCCAGCAGATTGAAGTCATCAAAATGTAAAACCATTTGTCAAAACTAAGTCAACTATAAGTTCTTCTTTTAAAACTAAAAATAAGTAGCTTCCATTACTTGAAAGAAAACCAGTTTCATCAATTAATGCATACCTGGGGATTCCTGAGATCAAGTGTTCCATGCATGTCCATCAAAAGATCAACCTGATTCCTCAGCGCTTTGAATCTCTTGGAAGCAAAAAGAAACTGAAAACATCAAGAAACTATAAGACATGCACCAAAAAACCATCCAGTAGACAACGAGCATGGATTGACTAAAAGAGTACCTGAGGCTAGATGCACCATCTCCTTGCCTGAATAGCAAAATCTTCATCAGATGGAGCAATATGTACAATGGGCTGAGTGAATATGAAGTGGAAACCCTCAATTCCAGCTGACTAAAGTCATCAAAATGTAAAACCATTTGTCAACTATAAGTACTTCTTTTTAAACTCAAAAGAAAACAAGCAGTTTCATCTATTAATGCAGACCTCAAGTGATCCCTCAGCACGGTGAATCTCTTTAAGAACCTGAAAATATCAAAAAACTATAAGACTCCACCCAAATAAAAAAGAATCCATTAGACAAAGAGCATATATGAACAAGAAGAGAGTACCTGAGGCTAGAAGCACCATCTCCTTACTTGAATAAGCAGCATCTTCATCTGTGGTGGAAACGCTCAATTCCAACCGACTAAAAGGTATCAAAAATGTAAAAACTCATCTAATGATTACAAGACAAATTTACAAGACAAATTTGTCTAATGATTAATAAAAGAAAGACTCATCTCATCATGTTAACAACTTAACATACATACACTGACTTCATAGTCTCGACCACCAAAAGCTTCTTGCCATGTCTGTATCTAACAAACTCAGAGATGCGAATCAGAAGGAATCTCACTAAGCCGATCACTACTACGCCGTCTCTCTACTTCACACCATCACCGCAAAGTCTCCTTGCGATCTTAACCGGTTAAGATTCTCTCCCAGAAACATCCCGAAGCCCTCCGTCACAGTTTCTAAACCATCAGAAGAAACCCTAGCCGATTGTACTAGTTTCTTGCCTGAATCAAACAAAACCCTAGAAATCAATCCAACATATATAAGAACACGATTACACAAAACTTATATAAATCCTATAAATTCGCAATACAGAGAAATTGAAATTACTAATTTTAAGATGCTTCACCATGAAATTTCCTCACCAATCGTCGAAGAACTCATCAGTCTTCTTCTTCATTCAAAAACGAAGAACAAAAGAGAGAGAGAGATTGGGAAAAAAAGGAAAAAAATAATTATGTGTAAATTTCCTTTTGCAACAAATATATAAATGCGTCTTGACAAAACGCGTTGCCTAACGGCTATAATTATACCAAGATTAGCCGTTGATTCGTCAGATGATATTTCAATCAACGGTCCTGTATTTTCCTTGATTAAAAAAGTGATTATTTTTGTTTTTGGCAATATAAACAAACGCAAACGTACTGTTAGCGTTTTGTCATTGCCGAGAGATTTTTATATGGGTTTCATATAGTGTTAGGCCCAATAAGCTCCATTAATTTAAAATTCAAAATTTTGGTTCTCTTCCTTTGCTTATATTAAGTTTATTGTCTATAGGCCCAATTACGAAGATTTATGATGTAGATCCGGTAAGCCAATTTGGGAAACCGAATTTCAGATAAACCAAACCAATGCTTCTATTTGATTTAGTAACTACCGACTTCTTTACCAAAATTTCTCAAAGATTAATCATCATGTAAACTGTTTAAATAATTACACAAAACTCGTATCTCCTAAAATCAATGAATATTTAATTGATTTTAATATTAACTAGAATTATTAAAATAAAAAAAAGTTTTCCTAGAGAAAAAAAATGATTTTTAAAATAATAAAAAATATTAAAGTATTAGTTAACATTTTTAATTAAGTCAAAAGCTGTTCTTACGACATCAAACAGCTACTGGCCGAAGTTTACTGAAGGATTCATTTTTATTCAACGACCGTTACCAACGAGAGAGTCGTGGAAACATTTGACTAAGAAACAAAAACACAAATATTCTAACTTTGTAAGTATCGTCACCTAATTGTAGCCTTATAAAATATGACTCTTCCTCTATAACACCTTCTATATAATAACATCATAACCCAAGCCAAACAAATAAAAACAGAGAAAGAAAAAAAAAAGGATTCAAGAAGAAGAAACTATGTCAAAGATCAACATTCTCATCGTTGCAGCACTTTTACTTAGCTTCATGGTTATTGATTCAGTGGCTCGTCCTGACTCGTCTCTCCAGAACAAACCTATGGTAAATATACTCATTCTCTCTTAGGATAAAAACCAAAATATTTTTTTCCTTTGTTGAATGTTTTATAATTCCTAGGAGAGGCCATTGATGATTTGTAAAATTTATTTATAATTTGAATGAAGGAGAAGGAGATGGGTTGTGAACCTTGGGACTGTAATATGAGGAAAACGACGTCGGATGCTCACCTTGATTACATATATACCCAACCATTTCCTCCTAAACCGAATGCAGCTAAAGTGAAACATTAACTATTATACTTAACTTCTTTACCAATACACCTAATATATTCATGGAACGTACTAAGTAAAATTTTGTTTGATTTGGTTGTAGGAAATGGGTTGTGAACCTTGGGACTGTAATATGAGGAAAACCACTTCGGATGCTCACTTTAAAGTCAATCCTTAATTTAAGTATCAATCAGTATTCCATATGTTATCTTGTGATATATATGTAATAAAGACTTAAATAAATGAAATGATTTTTTTTTCATCATTTTGTTGACAAGTGAAAATTTACTAACAAAGAGAGGCAATGTTTCATCAATGAATAATATTGTTTGGGTTGGATCGGTTCGGATAATTGATTGGATAACCAACTATATTTTTTTAAAAAATTGTTATGGTTTGGTATGAGTACTTTTCACCTGATTAGAACCGGAATATCCATATATATCCATAATACCTGAAATTTAAGTTGAAAAACTGAATCCAAATTGCATGAAGTTGTAACTACAAAATTAATTAAAGCAAAATTAGAGAAACATAATCCAATATTTAAAACAAGCATGAGAAATTGAGAATTGTAACATCCAAAATCAGATTCAAAGGTCTTATAGAGAACTAGAAATAGTTATTAAAAATATATACTTACTAGATTCGGATCCGCGCTACAGCGCGGGGGAAATAATTATTTATATATAACTTTTAACGGAGTAGAATATATTACATTTTAATTTTATAGTCGATTACGATGAATCATATATTTGTGTAATAATTTTAATTAAAATAATAAACGAAAAAGCGTGTAAATAATAATATATTGAGTTTTAATGCAATTAAAAAAAGTGAAAATTTAACAGCACGAAAGAATATTTATCGACAAATTATTCAATTTGACTATTTTGTAGTAGAAGTAGGAATATATGTAAAAATTACATACTTATAATATATTTTTTGACGGACCAACTCGTAAGAATTCATTTTGTAAAAAATATTATTCATAGCTCGCTTTACCATTATAATTGTGATTTTAACAAACTACCCGCGAACTATCTAAAATTTCCATATTTTGATATATAATATATTTTATCAATAAAAATTATGTCTCCAAAATTACATCTATGTCTCCAAAAAAATATTTGAAATTCAAAATTACATATATATTTGAACCTTTTAAGTAATATATTTTGAAACTTTTTAAACTTATAAATATGTTCATGTAACAATGGTTGTAATATTGGTCATACTTATACTGATTTTAAACCATTTTCCAAAATATTTAACCGAGTGTAGTTGAATATTATATGTCCGTTTTGAAAAATTCAAATAGCCACATATGCAAAAAAAAAAATGTTTATTAACAATTTTTTACTATATAGTATAATATTATAAATTAAAAATAATATTAAATAAAAGTTAAAGAAAAATAATAATTGATTATTTAGAGAAATATTAGGAAATCATAAAATTGGTTATGGAAATAATATAATCTTAAAATTAGATTTGGAAAGTATCCGATGTATGTATCCAAGCCCAATTTAATATCCAACTTTGAAGTATCCAATTGTTAAAATCGGGTTAATTTTTCAATTTTGACCCGACCCGTATTCTATTTTGTACTTCTCTTTTACTAATATAGAGATTATCGATAGATTTTGGAATTTGTAATTTGTAATTGGATTCAAAAGATACGTTATCACAAATTTTTTTTTTTACTTTTTTTTTGTAACGTTCCAAAAATTCAGGAAAAAAACAATCATTATATCATTTTAAAAAAATTCCTAGTGTTCATACATGTTTTTACTTAACCGATATATATCAGATTTCAGATTCAACAGACTTTGATATAAAATGCTTCATTAAAGTGTAAATATGATACATGATTAAGCTTAAATACTAAGGGATTATACAACATAAATAACCGGAACTAAACCAGTTCTATATACACTGACCATAACTAAACCAATACTATATACACTCTAATACTCCCCCTCAAGATGGAAGTAATCCATCTTGGACTTGAAGAACTTGTGTGCTCCAAGGGACTTTTCTGAAAAAACTGTGCTCCAACCAAACTTTCATAACCTGGATTATAGAGAGATGAAACAAAGCGTTGTCGGATTCTTCAGGTGAACGTGGAGAGGCTTGAAACAGAATGAGCAACAAATCATATGGCCAAGAAAGCCAAAGTATCGTCTGAGCTTCTCCATGCTTACCACCACCTCTGTTTCAATAAGAACTCACAGCAGTCCAACCAATTAGGGACCACTTCACAATCTCATACTCATCTAGGCACGAGGCAGTGTTGTTTGTCATACGAAGGTTATGTCTATTGAATAACAATAACACAACCTGAAGAACTGGATGTAAAGGGAGCTAGCACACATTTATAATCCAGCAATAACATAGCTTGAAAAAAAAAAATGCAGAGCTGAAGCAGAGAACAACAGCAGGAGGAAGTTTGGTTTCACATAATAACTGAGGTAGTGAATGACCGTTGTTATGAAAGTAAAAGCTTATGCCTAAGCAGTTCACATGCGACAGCCATGTGACTTCAATGAACACAACTGTCCCTGAACAAGTGATGGCAGAGATGATTACATGATCTGTACAACAACCTGCGACATGGAAACAAACCAAACCAGCTACAGGTGGAGCTATCACTTGCAGTCCTCCAAAATTCAGCATCAACATGACAACAACGTCATAATCCATATCCAACATATGCAGAAACTCATGGCAATCGTCAAGGATAGTTGGTGATGTTGAGACAATTTCTAGTGAAGAATTTATCTTAGTAACACGGCAAAACGCAGGAAGATCACTCACAGATGCAAATCAAATCCATCAAAGCATCGTGTATCAACATCAAAAGTATGGTTCTGCCTAAACCTATACTGATCTAATTGAAGCTCCCCCTCTCGAGGAACACATCGTCATCAACCAAAAATCCAGAATCTTCTAATTGAATATGCTCATACTAGATCATTGAATATGCTCCAAGAACAAGAGTGGGAACAAATTATTTGCTGTTTTGATGAAGATACTTATCTGAGCATACGCTCCAATAGAGAACCAATTGTAGAAACTCGAAAATCACTTAGGCTTGGACAATCAGAAGCAATGCTAGGTGATATACAACTAGAAACAGATCACGAACCTTTTTTTTTTTTTTTTTTTTTTTTGGACAAACTAAGAATTTTCATTCAACTTAAAAGAGTGATGCCTCTACAAAGAGAGGATACAAAAGGCTTAAACAAGAGCCATAACTCAAGGAGAGACATAAAGATAAAGAGGAGCTTACATGCTCAACCCAAGAAACAAGCAAACGAAGACTACCATTAAGCAAAACAATATCGGTAACACCGTTTGCTTCCAAAGAGGTCTTCAAGCCATGTTCTTTCACTAGCAATGCGAATGTGACATAACAGTAACGGACAAAGCCGTTGGATAGGGGAACTTCAAAGACATCAGATGACCATCGATCCATATCAAAGAGACATGAGATAGTTAGCCTAGCTTCATCAAAGAAGATCTTCTTCCCTACAATAAATCTTTTTCCACCGAAAGGGGAATTTGATAGAACATAAAACTCCACAAAGGAGTAACAGTGACATAACATGCCACACCACAACCAAGGTAAACAAACCATGGAAGCTTTGAAAACTACCATTGCATTCATAAAGGCTAAGGTGGCCATAAAAGGAACACAAAACCACAGAATGAGGCTAACGATTCTATTATCCAACCGACAAATCATATAGATTGAAGGGAAAGAGCTTAAAAAGCCAGAATCAAACCTGGTAGAAACCGGTACAAGACCGAAACAGAACCTGCATACTGCAGTAAGGGGAGTGTCACAGGAGGACACCACAAAAGGTGTCAAAACACCAAATGAAGCCACCAAAGGGAGAGAGCAGAGATCTACAATCTGACGTGATGGACACAAAGTGGGGGTGAGGGAGTACTTCGTTGTTGGTCCAACAAGGGAGTCGCAGACGAAAGGTACATAACGTGGTGCGGTGGTGAGGTGGAAGAGCAGAACGTGACAAGGTGGTAAGGAGCTTCGGGTGAAGACTAGCAAGGAACAAGAGACCACATTAACGTGGATCTGAAACGACAATGGATCTGGAGGGTCTGGGGGCTCTGGCGGATCCGGAGGAGAGGAAGGACCCGGTGATGAAACCAGCGCCGGTGAACGCCTCAGTCCCAAAGAAGCAATCTGATCCATCTGAAAGGAAAGAGAGTGTTGCAGGAAAATCGAAAAAGTTTGAGCCATTGAAACAGAGAAACAGAACACGCTATTAGAAGCGGAAGATGCCGGAAGGGAAGCCGGAAAACTCGCCGGAATGGGCTCCGGTAACTGCTGAGAGAACCCCAAAAGAATGAGAACTACACCGGTTAGGAGGAGGAAGCGCCAGAGAAGCTTTGCCGGTGAAGAAACGCCATTTGAGAACCCAGCTTGCAGCTCCTCGAGAAACGTGTCTGGGAGAGAACTAGGGCGAACTCACAGATCACGAACCTTAAGATATCCATTCTTCAAAGTAGAAATAACAAAGATCGAGGAAATCTGATCTCAAAATCGAAGGAGAAGAGCTAAAATCTGAGAAATCAAACCAAGAATCGAAGAAATTAATACTCAACTGAAAGAAAACAGACGTAGCTTCGAGGAGATCATGGCTCAATGAAGATGAAAAACAAATGAAACTCCATCGGAATGAAACGCGATGGGGATTGAGAAATTAACCGATCAAAACATATATATATGATCGGAGAAAACAAAATCAACTGAAACAAAGAAGAACACGATCGGAATGTAACACGATCGGAGAAGACGAAATCAGCTGAAAACAAAGAACACGATCGGAATGAAACACGATCGGAGAAAAACTTATCCGATTTGAGAAAACAACCTATCAAGGTGTACAGACTGAATCGGAGAAGAAGAAAATGGAGAAATCAAGGAAAAACAATCAGAGATTTGAAGAAATCGAGCTTGCGGAAGAAGATGAATGAAGCATGGTGATGAAATGCTCTGATACCATTTCAGATTCAACAGACTTTGATATAAAATGCTTCATTAAAGTGTAAATATGATACATGATTAAGCTTAAATACTAAGGGATTATACAACATAAATAACCGGAACTAAACCAGTTCTATATACACTAACCATAACTAAACCAATACTATATACACTCTAATATCAGACAACATTGAACCGTACCAACAGATATGTCAATGTCCTCAACTATGTCAGGATTCGGACTCGTTGTTAGACATAAGCCATCTCTTTGCGTTATTTTCTTTGTGATGTATGCAAAGAACCAACGCCAAGTATCAGCTTATTGTTGTTTATAATTTTAGATGCAAATCAAACTAACGTGATAAATACGTTTATTCTCATGAATATTTAACAAACTGAAATAATAAATTGTGTAAAAACACAAAACTGATTTGATGATTTTTTTTGTTTCCAAAGCTTTGAACAAATTGTAGAATGATAAAAGGTTTGCTTTAGCAATTTCCTAAGACAGAATTTCGACTACACTAATTAACGTTTATCTAGATAATCCAACTATTTATCACTAGATTACACGACGTTTAAAAATCCTAACAAATTGTAGTCTGTGTTTCTTATAATAATTTAGTTCTAATTTTATTAATTTATCAAAGTTTTGAGGTATTACTTTAAGAGAATTTTTGATAAATACCCCTTTTGGTGTACCTTTTTTAAAAAATACCCCCTTTATCTATCCATTTTCAAAAATACCCCTTTTTAAATATAAAAAATTATAAAGTTTTATATAGTTTATAAAGTACTTCTATATAATAACTACTACTGGGAGATTCGATACAAATATTTTAAAATGTTTTAAATAGTTTTAAATCGTTTTATAAGTTTTATAAGGTTTTTAAAAAGTTTTTAAAAGGGTTTATACGGTTTTTATACGGTTTTTATATGATTTTTTATAATTTATTTTTACGCTATTTATGAAAGGTATATAAAGTTTTATACACATATAAAGGTAATTTGTGTATATATTTATAAGCTTACACACATATTTGGATAAATTTCAACATTTTTAGTGGGTTTTTTTATAAAGTTTGAAAAGGGGGTATTTTTAAAAAGAGGTATATGAAAAGGGGTATTTTTGAAATTCCCTCTTACTTTAAGTGATTTTTGACCTTTGCCCTCTTTCTATTTTTTTTTTTTTTGCTTATAATCGAATAAATTTCAGAAATCATCCGGTCATAAATCATAATACAGTAACTCTTATCTTCTAAAAATGCATCATTATCCTAACTCTCAAGGTTTCATGGCATCTTGCATACAAACCAAATAAAGTTCATCTAGAAAGCAAAGTTGAATTTAATTTATTATAATATCTATTGCAATTAATTTAAAAAATAAAAAAAAAGTTTTCCTAAAATGCAAAAAAAAATATAAACTCGAAGTATTAACATTTTTAATTAAGTCAAAATCTGTTCTTATGGACATTTAATAGCTAATGGAAGTTAAACTAAAGCATTCAATTTTATTCAACAAGCGTTGCCACATACCAACTAGAGAGTCATGGAAAGATTTGACCAAGTAACAAAACTACAAAAATTTAGAAATTTAATTTAATGCATTAAGAAAATCTAAAATGTTTCAAAAAGAAAAAAAAGAAAAAAGTTATTAATTAATACGTTTCTAACAACAATTAAAGAGTTGGATAAGTTTTTGCAGCAATAAATACGGAAAAAAAAAATTAAAGTATCGTTACCTAATTTTAGCCTTATAAATTATGACTCTTCCTATGTAAACATCACAAACCAAGCCAAGCAAATAAAAACGGAGAAAAAAAAGATTCAAGAAGAAGAAACTATGTCAAAGATCAACATTCTCATCGTTGCAGCACTTTTACTTAGCTTCATGGTTATTGATTCAGTGGCTCGTCCTGACTCGTCTCTCCAGAACAAACCTATGGTAAATATACTCATTCTCTCTTAGGAAAAAAAAAAACCAAAATATCATTTTTTGTTGAGTGTTTATAATTTCTAAGAGAGGCCATTGATGGTTTGTGAAATTTATTTATAATTTGAATGAAGGAGAAGGAGATGGGTTGTGAAGGTGATGAATGTATGATGGAAACAACGCATGCAGCTAAAGTCAATCCTTAACCATTATACTCAACTTCTTTATCAATACACCTAAAGGGCTCATGGAACGTACTAAGTAAAGTTTTATTTGATTTGGTTGTAGGTGATGGGTTGTGAAGGTGATGAATGTATGATGGAAACGACGTCGGATGCTCACCTTGATTACATCTATACCCAAGCATCTCCTCCTAAACCACATGCAGCTAAAGTAAATCATTAACTATTATACTGATCAACTTCTTTATCAATACACCTAATATGCTCATTGAACGTACTAAGTAAAGTTTTCTTTGATTTGGTTGTAGAAGATGGGTTGTGAAGGTGACGAGTGTATGTAGAAAACGACTTCGGACGCTAGCTCACCTTGGTTACATATATACCCAAACATCTCCTCCTAAACAAGAAGCACTTGAAGTCAATCCTTAAATTAATTATATATACAATCAGTAATTCATATGTTATGTTGTGATTTATATAATGTTCTCTAATAAAGTCTTAAATCAATGAAATAATAGTGTGCGTTCATCATTTTGTTGACAAGTGAAAACTCACTAATAAAGAGATACAAGGTTTCATCAATAACAGTTTGGGTTCGGGTCGGTTCGGATAATTGATTGGAATACTAAAATATATTCGATGTCTTTTGCGTTATGGTTCGGTAGGACTACTTTTCATCATATTAGATCCGAAATACCTGAAATATAAGTTGAAAGCTGAATCAAAATTGCATTTTTCTTTTAAAATATTTTGGACGTTACATGTTTATATTGATGAATGAAAACAATGAATAATATCGTTGCAAACTTGTAAGTAAGGATCAGCCGAGTCTACTAGGCCTTTTTGCATCCATAACATTTGCAAACTGGTTTTGACTTCTCAATTGCACATTTCCCCTTGCTATAAACACCATCAAGGGTGCAGTCTTGTGTGCATAGACTGTCACTACAAGGACCAGGCGATACGTATGCGGTTCGACCCTCGTTAATTACATGGCTGCTGCTGTGTCTTTACTCTTGATATCCCTACTACATTATGTAAAGAAACATTAATCAAAACCCTTCATATAAGAATTTGAATACTTCAAATATTCAAAGATCAAAGTACAGTCAGTACCTGTCAAAATCAAGAAAATCACAAGATATGTGATGAAACCAATGGCATGTACACCTTTAGCCATTTTCACTGTTATGTTCTTCTTGTTTCGTTCTTTTTAATGGAATATATATATATAACATATAACATATGTACACAAAAGATCTTTTCTCCTAGAAATAGAAAATTTATATTTAAATCAATGCAAAAATATTATTAGCTGTATGTAAAGATCTTTTCTCCTAGAAATAGAAAATTTTTGTCCACAAAAATGTCTACAAATTACCTAGGAATTAAGAACAAGATTTGTATAGATTTGTTGATCACAAAAAGATTTGATAGCCACATTAAGGTCTACATGCATGGTAACATATATTTTGTGGAGTTACTGAGGAATTATTGAGGAATATATCGTTACTGTAATTATATATGGTTACTGTCCTAAAACTAAGGCTATGCAGACTTAAAAGGTGAACCTCTTTATCATCAAGTCCCTGAGTATTCTATTAAGATCTTCCACTTAAGGCATTATTGTAGTATTAAAATTAAAAATTTAAGAGGTAGAGTATCTTAGATATGATTTTCTATTTTGTATAAGATATTTTCTTACTCATTAAACCACTTTTTATATTCAATTTAGTTACAAATTAATCTTTAAAAACTCTAAGATCTCCCCATTAAAAATGGTCTTACGCATCTCTGGTTCATTCGTATACATCACTGTAACATTAAAGGCCAATAAGCTTTTGTGAGACAGACTAAAACTTCGAATCGTTTGAGAATTCATTTTTACTTAACAACGACAAGCGTTAACAAACGAGAGCGTCGTGGATAGGTTGACTGAAGTAACAAGAATACAAATAGTTGGAAATTTAATTTAATACTTATAGAAATAACTTTTTCCTCTCTTTAGATAGCAACAACATGCACGTTGTAACTTTATATTCTTGTTTATGAATGTTCTATTCAAGATTTTAATCAATGAAACAACATTATCAATGGGTTATTTCTATTCAATATGACTTGATGGCGTCCTTAACCAGAATTTATAAGCCTAATAATCCTTTTGTGTTAGTGTCACTGTTTTGTTGATAAGTGATTGCCAAGTGAAACCTCACTAACAAAGAGAGGCAAAGGGTCAAACCAATGACATGTATATATTTCAAACCAATGACAAAACAATGTTAAGAAACGCCAAAAACTCGATTGATTACGATAAATTGCAATACTGAATCTTTAGATAAAGAGCTATCGTTAAGTAATTTTCTAAGGTGATCTAATCAACAACAAATCGATGGATTTTTGAATTTTATAATTGGATTTCGAAAAACACGTTATTACAAAGAATTTTAACCCCACCAAAAATTTAAAAATAATAATAATAATAAGAATTATAATTCTTAACATTACTAATAGAATAAAATTCTAAAAAATCATTACGTTAAATCAAGAAATATCTCCTTTTTTTTTATGAAAGATGAATGATAACAAATTAACAATGAATAATATTGTTGCAATTAGTAGGATCAGCCGAGTCCACTACGCCTTTTTGCATCCATAACATTTGCAAACTGGTTTTGACTTCTCAATTGCACATTTCCCCTTGCTATAAACACCAGCAAGGGTGCAGTCTTGTGTGCATAGACTGTCACTACAAGGACCAGGCGATACGTATGCGGTTCGACCCTCTTTGCATGGTGGCTTCTTACTCTTCACTCTTGATATGCCTACTAATATTATATAAGAAACATTCAACACTTTATTAGATTTTGCATATCTTCATTCTAGTTATGTGTTATTTTCATATTGATCATAATTTTCTTACAAATTTTTAAATATTTGAAAAACAAAATATGCGAAATTTCAATCGGATACAGAAGGTTTATTTTTATTTTTTTGCGGTTAAATTTTAGTTATGAGTTTTGTGAAAGATATTTAAGGTTATGAAAATAAGATATGAACACTAGTCGGAAAATAAAATAGACATCAATGTGTTTGAAAAGAATACACACTAGTCGGAAAATAAAACACAGATCAATATGTACAATACCTGTCAAAATCAAGAAGATCACTAGATAAGTGATGAAACCAATAGCATGTACACCTTTAGCCATAATGCTATAACTTCTTTTTTGTTTCCTTCTGTTTTGATATTTTGCATATGTACACAATCACCTATTATTTGTATATAAAGATTTGTTTTATCCTAAAAATAGAAAGAAAATAAAATGCAATCCTTAAGAAATGCCTATAAATTAGTTAAAAATGAAGAAAAAGTATAACAATTTGATAGACCACATACGTATTTTTCCCCCATAGTTTCCTAATTTTAGTTAAGTTTAATACATATTTTCTCATTTTCACAAATACAATATGAGTATCAAAACGAAACAATAAGTTTAATCAATGATCGTTACTGTCCTGCCGTATCTATTGACGGAGCAGCAGATGTCGCGGCTACTGCCGAGATCAAGACAGCATAGGAGATGACGGTTTCACAAAGGAAGATGCAGATCAACTCGTGGAGAAGCTCAAAGTGATAGCTGCCACAATGGCAATGGAAAGACTGATTTTGGAAATAATATTGGTTCCTTCATAACTTTACAGACTCTTTAGACATTCAGTGGATTTTTTTCTGAGGCAATTACATTCTTCTCTGATACTCTCAAGAACCATATTAAAATGTACGAACAACAGAAATCCCACTTCTGTCTGGCAATAACTTCTTCATGTAATACTTGGATCTCCTCGAAAGATTGATTCTTTCTCGTCTTGCTTCCGGTATCATCTCGATTGAACATTCCTGAAACCCGCGTCTCACAAACCAGTCAGCGGTTCTCGTTGTTAGGAGAAAAAGCATCTCCAGTCCGAGAGCTGACGCTTTCTTCTCAATGTAATCTGCAAATATTTCACAGTCAAGAAACTGAGTTTTTGTCTTAACTGTAGATTGAAAACTCAAAAGTTTTGTGATTTATACCGAGCAATTTATCTCCCTGTCCTTGTCCACGGCAATCAGATGAAACCGCAATAGCTGCAACTTCTCCACACTTTTCTTTAAAGAAAGGGAACAAAGCCGCACAAGCAATAATCTGTCCTTCCCTTTCCACAACCACAAACGAATCCAAAGCTCGCACTAGCTGAACACCAAATAACGATTATCTCTTTAACCATAGCAACAAAACAATCAGACTTAGAACCTTAGGCTAAAAGGCGAACCTCTTCATCAGTTCTGCGAACTAAAGTCCCTGAGTCTTCCAGAGGTTTGATTATTTGTCTAATACCAGTAAGATCTTCTACCTTTGCCTCTCGGGTTCCTTCGTATACATCACTGTGACATTAAGGGCCAGTAAGCATTTGTAAGAAAGATTATAACTATGAATCGTTTGCAATTGAAAACAGTTGTGTATACCTTGCCACCATAGTCCCCATTCCATCTCTTTTGAAAAGCTCCAACAATAGCACTCCGCTTATAGTACCGTCCAATAGGTGAACTCTTTTAACACCACCCTTTAACACAATCAATGTGTCAAAAAATTTCGAAGTAAACAAAAAGAACACGAGGACTAGCTCAAGGACTCACTCTGCAGACGAATGCTGCTGCAGCCAGTTCAGAGAGATATCCGTTTAAGCGGCTAAGTCTCTCCTCACCGCCAATAGCAAAACCTTGCTCCCCAGACCACAACCCATTTCCGTTGTCAAATCCAACACCATTCTGAAAGGTCGGAGTGTGTTTTTCCCAAATTGGTCTCCCGTTATAATTGTTGGGAGTTGTCACCATCCCATTGTAACCAAGCGGTTCAGGGAGACTACTTATCCCTCCATCCCCAACAGCCTTCACGTAATTCGCAGCTATCTCACTTTGTTGTGCCCGTTTTCTGACTAACGTATCTGCTTCCTGAAGAGTCAAGAAGCGAACAAGATGTCCATTCTCATCAAGAACTGGACCGTCCATTATGCAAATAAGCTTATCTGCTCCTATAGCTAAAGCACAGGCCGTAGCAACCTCATAGGTACTGCAGTGTAGAAATAATGTCCCAATATTAGAGTGAGATAACTAATACTTCAAGGTTTTAAGATGTAAATAAGATGTAAACTTTTTGCTAAGAAAGAGAGCATACTTGCAATTTAAGACTTCTCCGGAGCTGGAATGGCCCAAGTTCCTCAGTAGAACTACAGAACCACTATCAAGCCTCTCACGGATCCTATCTACATCTATCTTCTTCACTAAACCAGTAGCTCCAAAATCAACACCATCAACAACACCTCTTCTCTGCCACGCCAATTAATCAGATAAAAATGACAAGAATTGACATTCAAACTAACATATCAAGAAAGTAGAAAACTCACCTTTGCTGCAAAGAAGTTACCAGTGTCGACCCTAACACCCGTTTCATGCAAACGACTATTATCACCATGTCGGCGTATGTTGTAAATTGAAGGTCCGGGAGATAGTTTGGCCTCAATCATTACAGATATTGCCCCTGCAGCTTCCTTGGCAGCCTGCAGAGATGCTGAGTCTGTAACTCTGTAACGACCCACATATGTTGGCTCGCGTCCTGAAACTCATACACCTTAGGCTCCATCTGAACAAGCTCAAAGATTCATATTTATCACAATAATGTCGCCAAATTCGCCATCACTAACTGATGATAAACCATCACTTGACACATACAACGGCTTTGGTTAAATAGATCAATAGAAAGGTAAAATCACTAGCATCTTAAATATATCTAAACAATCTAAGAAAGATAACTATAAGTGACTGAGAGGTCCAAAAAACAGGCAAATACCACGACAAGCAAATAAAGAACATAAATGGCAAGGCTAATTAACTGACCTCTCTCAGCTAAAAGCTCGTCGATTTGCACTTGAGTTCCAGGAACAAGAACAAACCTAATGCCCAAGTGATGAAGAAATGCTATGTCCTGCACATATGTCAAAATCAATTCACTTTAGATTCCTATCCAAAAAGAGTACAAGAACTGAAATCTAAAGTATATTAATCAAATAGCTGCAGAAGACTCAACAAGATCAATGAGCAATCAATGCGACAAATTTCACAAGAGAAACACAAAATTACATGTTCAATTTTAGCTGAGACAAACAATCAAACACCTTGCCTGCAATAATTCTCATATAACCAAAACACTTAAGAGGTAAAGAACAAGTAGGTGCCTTTAAAACGAGATCACAATAAGGGCCATCTAAGACATCTCCAGAGATAGTAACAACGAAGGTACAGCCACGATGAGCCCATAGATACGGCCAAGCTTCACGAAACCACCGCACGAACTGCTTATCACCGACGAAATTCTCACCAATTTCCGCGTAATCAAACATATTACATTTCGCCGCCGTAAGTGGCGGAGGAGAAGACGTGAAAAACGGAAGCTTTATCAATTGACGATGACTGTTTAGCTTCTTGCTCGGCACGAAGAAAGCAAAACCCTTTCTTGTTTGAGGACATCGGGGAGGAACGTAACAGGTAGAAGAAGATACCACCATAGCTCCTCGCTCCGTCATTTTCAATAATTTTCCAATGAAATTGAACAGAATCAGAGCAAAATTGGAAACAATGGCGGATGATCGGTGGAGGAAGAAGAAGAAGAGGCTTTGGAATGCGTGCATTTCATTTCGGTTTATTTCGGTTATTGAATCAAGCAAAAATGGTTAAAACCGGTTTGGTTAAATAAGCCTGAACCGGAATTTGCAGCTGTCTCTGTCAGTGAAAACGAGAGTTGAGGAACAAGACAAGAGATGCAAAAAACATCGACGGCCCATTTTAGATGCTGATTTTGAATTATTACCGTTTTCTGATTGGTTGATTTCGTTGAAGTTTGTGAAATGCATTACAAACGTGTTATTATTATTTTTATATATTTTGTCTGTTAATATACTATATTAGAGGTAAGAAAATTTAAAAATTCCAATAATTTGGCGAGTTTAAATACAAATTTTGTTTTTTGTTTGCCCAAAAAAAAAAAATTATTGAATACAAAGACAATGGTACTACTCTGTTTTTCACAAAATCGCTTGAATTATTGATCAAACATATGATTTTTGAGTTATATGCATTACTATCTCTTCTGTTTAATAAAAGAAGAAATTAGAAGTACGTCTTTTAAGTTTCTATGTAAAAATTCAATTGTATTTGATGTTTTGCCATCAATAATATCGTTATTTGTATAGAATGTATCTGTTATGTAATGAAATGAACCTAGAAACATCACAGGACATATACATTCAATAATTTGTAGGATTACTTTTAGATTTTTACGTACCATTTTACGTAAACACACAGAAACCTTCGCGTCTCGCCGCGTTTTCTACCATATTGATATGGACAGGACAGGACATAGTAACTTATCTTATATGAAATTTGTCATTTCAATGGTCACGCGTTTTGTGGTTTTGGAATCTAGTGGTAATGGTGAAAAAATAACTAGTAGAAATAGTAATGGACCTTGACCTTGAGAATGCCGTCGAGAGTTGAACCGGAGTCAAGTAGTTCAGCCGACAACATAACGACAAATACGCTGTCTCTATGTAGATTCACGTACGGATGAGCTTCCCTAAGGACCGCCACTAGCTCAGCTTCATCCTTCGCAACAACCCCGCCGGTGTCACCAAAACTGGAATGGTTTCTTGTTTCTCCACCGTTAACGTTAATGGTCCAGCTCCGTCGTTGCTGCTTCGTCAAAGAAGAGACGTGACTATGTCTCATTTGCTTCGGACATCCCCAAGAACCTGGCGGCTTAGACCCCAAACCGGAGTTTTCCGGAGCCTCGCCGCAGATGAGTGAGCCAACCCACGGTGGTCGGGATCTGCAGTTTGCCATTTATTTGTGTATGAAGATCAGAAGAAAATGACTTAGTACCAAAAAAAAAAATATCTTGGATACTCTTTTGTTTGTCTAGTTTTGTAATAAGTCAATAAAACAAATAGTTATTAGATTAAACAATTAAAACGAAAATGGAAAAATGAAGAATGAGATATTTTTGTTGTTGTAAGATAATGTATAATGAGAGCGATGTGAGATTAAATTTGGATAGTTATTGACTTAATTATTGCGATAATGGTTATCTATTTGAAAGCGATCGAGATGATTAGATGAAATGAAACTTGAACCTCATATATATTTTTCAGCCATCGGATAATTATAGAATAACTATAGTCTATAGAAGTTGTAGATATTTAAGTCTATGTATGTTTATATTTTATATACAGAGAATTTGTATTATTCTAAAATAATTTTGGTACATTTTTCTAATTATAATAATGGGAAAATATGTTGCTGTCCCATTCATCGAACATCATATTGTATGCTCTTTCCTTATGATCGTTATGATTGTTGGAAATTTCATTTAGCTTAATCATCTTATTCTACCATTTTGTAGAAAAAATACATATTGTATCTAGTAATGGAACGAATCGAATGACAAAGACAAAAGCCTTGTTAGAGAACGTTGTCACGCTAAGACTATCTCCAATGCTAAAGTTGTAAACAAGTTTTTTAGCATTATTTTATAAAAAAAAATATAAGTTATGAAGTTAAGAAATTTTTGAAGATGAAAAGAAATATATGCTTCCAATGGCAAAGTTCTAAATTCAAAGTTTTTAAAATTATAATTAAAAAACTTCTTTGAAAATAAGTTTGAAGTACAAATCTCAAACCAATCAATTGCCTACACCTTGCACTAAAAACCAACATCAAAATTTCTAACTAAGATATTTTTCTTAGGTTAATACATATTTTTGAATTATTTTTTATTTTTTATAACTAAGAAATTTGCTAACATACTTGCTTTGGACCTGCTCTAACAACTCTAAGCGGTACAAAAGAATCGTTTTAGTATAGTTGCTAGTTTCTTCTTTGGAAAAGGTGCACTCGTCAAGGCCATAGTATTCTCCATGTGATCGAACTCAAAAAAGCTACAATACATCCCCATGAAGTTCCTTTCGAATTCAACTCTTCTAGTCTTGTTTTTCTTATGATCATAATAGTATGCCCAGAAATTGTCATCATTATAACAAAAAAGAACTCCCACACATCATCACAATCTCATCATCGCGAGTGACACCAAGGATACGGTAATGTACTATAGAAGGATCAGCTATGGAAAATGTAATCTTTGACCATTCTTGTTTCCCCATATGATCTTCCATAATCCACAAATCTGTACTAGCATTATTGCTGTGAGTTTGATCACGTACATGTATGCATCCTAATTTCCCTTGGTAGTTTACTAGTGTGATCGAATTCCAAATCGGATGAGTACTGATCACCATATTTTCCGGCATATGGATACAAACAAATCTCTCGAATCTAACATCAAACGTCACCAATACATCTCTGAGCTCTCTTCTTGCCATGTAATAAATCATCCCCTTGATGCATACCCTATGGTCTCTATTATGATCCCTTGGTGGAAAGAAATTGTCTTTGATGTTAATGTTTCTCCATTGCTGTGACTTTGTATTGATTCTCAACTGGATCATACCCAAATAATACATCATCAATAATGGACAGACTATCGTATACGACATTGGGTAATGAAACAGATTGTTTTTGTGGTAGGGTTGTATATCGAAATCTTATTCCACCATGACACACAACAGATTAATCCGTGTACATATCGATAAATATAGCACTTTAACCCACAAGGTAATGTCTCATGACACTCTTTGTCAGCAGATATGTATGTTTGGTTAGTGTTTTGAGGATTCGCATACGAGGAGAAATATAAAGTCTTGTCCAACATACAGCGAATTTCGTGGATGACGAGTAGTCGCGGCTGAGTCAAATTCCGAGTCTTAATCAAGTCGGTAATAACAGATGACCATAGCTTCGAAACACATTGGAACCTAACTAGTGACTTCACTGGAAATTTCCAGAGTATATTGACTATTACATCCAAAGGGATATAGATTGCATCTTCCGACGACTCTTTTACGCGGCGAGGTTGTAGTTTCAAAGCTCGTGAGAACTTCTCGCTAATCTTCTCTCCACGTCCTCCCTTCATAGCGTTAAGTTTTCTATTTTGTGAATCTCAAACGAAGAAGAGATTCTCTCACACACACACACACAACCCTAAAGAGTTAGAGCACAACCTAAACCCTTAAATATGAAACTTAATTACAAAAAGACAAATTCCTTTTCGTGTCTAAAATCATTGTAAATTTTCCTTTTTATGGTTAAGATCTCCTCATTACAATCTAGATACTTTACAATATTTTTAAGTTAACTTGAAAGATTTTTCTATTTTTTTTTCTCTAAAGCTTATTCTTATTTTCTTTTTGGTAAATAGAAAACTAATTAAGGTTGAATTCTTTAGGTCATAAACCTTATCCCCAACCCAATAAGTTTTACGAACGCATTTTATTCTCTGCAATATATGTTCACGTTTACTTTGCTTCTTGGATTTCATCATGACGTACACGGTTTCAGAAGTTGTGAGGTTTTCTCATCGTTTACTTTGCGTTTTCTCTTCATGATGTATATAACCTTGGTTTACAAAGCGTAAACAATATTTGTCCAATTGTGCAAGGAAACTCAAAAAAATCTTTTGCTCTAAAGGTTTCACAAAAAACCGAAAAAGATAGAAAAAATAATCAACATGAAGGCCTCGGCATTCTTCATTGCTCTATTGGTTATCGTATATGGTGTCGAAACGATAGAAAGCAGGAATTGTGAAATAAACGACGATTGCAAAGACCGGCAACCATGTTCAGTGCCTCTCGCTTGTGTATTTGGCAACTGCATTTGTCCATCGAAAAATCAATCTAAAATCTTCATTCCTCCTTGTCCAATCGTATGTGCACGTATAGGGGAAAAAACTTTAAATCAGTGGCCTCCTTGCGTTTGCATTAAAAAGTAAAGTCAAGAATATGTTGTGACTCAAGCGGGAGAAAGAATTGGTGATGGTGATGATAATGATGCTTAACATATACAAAAGAATTGTATACATGTCTCTCTTTGTTGATTCTATACATGGTGTTGTCGTTGGTGGGCGCCTTAGTTATTACCGTTGGTGCATGTCGATGTTGCGGAGATTCCAAAAATTTCGAGTCACAATTGTGTGTTTTACACTAATCTACACATATATTTGTTTTTCCTTCGCATGTTTTGATAGTTCAAGATGATAATACTTATTTGTAGAGGAAGTGTTATTGTGTTAATCACTTAGCATTTTTTCTTCTTCTATGAAGTTATAAAAAGTAACAATGCTATAAAAGTTGCGAGTATTGTTGAAAGCTCTGTTAATTGTAACCGACGTATTCATATTGGACTTATTTTAAACTATCAACATCACACGATCTTGTTTTGTCAAGTGCCTTTTAATCATGCAAACTCGAATTTGAATCTGATTATTTAGAATATTTCAATTGCCCATTAAAACCTTTTAATCCACCATTCGTCTGTATAAAAACTTTAATGTTAGTGTACACGAAATAAATTAATCATACAATATATATATAAGTTTATATCATAGTATATAGTATCTATCATAGTATAAAGAAACAGAGTTATAATGGCGTAGTCGTGTATTGTTCCTCCTCATTTATTGTGTGATGGGCACAAAGATGCGTTCAGCTTACTCAGTCAAAAACTAATGTTTTTATTTTCAGACCATTTTTAAAGTATTTTAGGTCCATTTTAATAGAATTACTATAGACTTTTTTAAAATTATAAACTAATATAAACCCAATTTTTCAACATATCAAGCAAGAAATTGCGGGTGAAATAGTAATCTTTTTTTTTTGCATTCCTAAATTATCGCAGCTTAAACTCACGTGCCCTTTCTTAACCGGACGCCGACACGTAGCCACCAACACCAATCAGTGTCGGTGAACCAACCCGGTCCGGTTCGTCACACATCACTCACGTTGTTCAAGTTTCTCTTCTAACCATATAACACTATCACATGTCATTCTGACAAAATAAAAACCTTATCTTTTACAATTTATAAAAAAACCTACCAATCAAAACACGAAAACTATCAAGTTAGTACATTTTAAAATTTTACAATTTGTTTTTCACAAATTTTTTTAATATCCTACTTAAAATATATCAATCAAGTGAGTAATGTCACATTAATGTTATATTGAAAATAAATATTCATTACCTTTTTTACAACGAAGTCCCAAAAAAAATTTGTATATCATTCCATCTCTAAAGATTTTAAGTAAATGGTGTCGATTGAGACATCATCACAACATTACCAATCATCTCCGATGGCTAAATACGCCGGAACAAGAACAAGACCTGTGATATGTTTCTCCGACGTCGTTCTCTTCCTCGGCGGAGCTTTTATGTCGCTAATCCTCGTTTGGTCATTCTTCTCCTTCTCTTCAATCTCACCAAACCTCACCGTCAAAACCGATGGCTCCTCCTCCTCCTCCACCAAATGCTATCACGGCATCGATACGAACCACGACCCAACCGACCCGGTTTACTACGACGACTCGGATCTAAGTTACACAATCGAGAAACCGGTTAAGAACTGGGACGAGAAACGAAGGCGGTGGTTCAATCTCCACCCTTCGTTCATCCCAGGGGCTGAGAATCGTACGGTTATGGTTACGGGATCACAATCTTCGCCGTGTAAGAACCCGATCGGGGACCATTTGTTGCTTAGGTTTTTTAAGAACAAGGTTGATTACTGTCGGATCCATGGTCATGATATATTCTACAGCAACGCGCTTCTTCACCCGAAGATGAATTCGTATTGGGCGAAACTTCCGGCGGTTAAAGCGGCGATGATTGCTCATCCCGAGGCGGAGTGGATCTGGTGGGTTGATTCTGATGCTTTGTTTACTGATATGGATTTTTCTCCGCCGTGGAGACGGTATAAGGACCATAACCTCGTTGTTCATGGTTGGCCGGGAGTGATTTATAATGATCGGAGCTGGACGGCGTTGAACGCCGGCGTTTTTCTAATTAGGAATTGTCAGTGGTCTATGGAGCTTATTGACACGTGGACAGGTATGGCCCCTCTTATTTATTGTTTTTATTATAAAGTTATATATTTTGTTGGTCCAAAGTCCGGTTTGGTTCTAAAAATTTTAGAATTTTTGTTTTTAGTATGGAAAATTTTACCGGATCATTCAAATTTCGGTTCGGTCTGGTCTTGTCTGTTAAAGACAAATTTTGGTACCTAAGCTAAAATATTTCAATTTAATTTGGTACATCTCGGTATAGTTCAATAATTTTGAGTAAATTTATCTAAATTATAACAAACTTTTTTTTTTTTTTTGGGTTCAATTTCAATTAAATTCGGATTATTTTCAATATGTTTGGTACATTTCGGTGTCTATCAATAATTGCGATTTGATTTTTGAAAATTATGATAAAAAATTGTAATTTCAGTTTAAATTAAGTATAGTTTAGCTTGGTTTAGTGATTCTTAACCAACATTATGCGTAAACGGTTGAATTTGGTACATTTCGGTATATTTTGATAATTTCATTTTAATTTTGATAAATTATGAAATTTTAGATAATTTCGGTTTCATTTCAGTTAACTTGAATCAACAAGGTTTGATTTGGTTCGGTTAACGCAAATTGAATTCAAATCGGGTTGGTTAACTTGGTTTGATTATATTTCCTGCTAGGTATGGGACCGGTAAGTCCGGAGTATGCAAAATGGGGACAGATCCAACGGTCAATATTCAAAGACAAGCTATTCCCAGAGTCAGATGATCAAACGGCTCTGATTTACTTACTATACAAACACAGAGAAGAGTATTATCCCAAGATATACCTCGAAGGAGACTATTACTTCGAAGGTTACTGGTTAGAGATCGTACCGGGTTTAGCTAACGTAACGGAGCGGTACCTGGAGATGGAACGAGAGGACGCCACGTTGCGTAGACGACACGCGGAGAAAGTGAGCGAGCGATACGCTGCGTTTCGGGAGAAACGGTTTTTGAAAGGAGAAAGAGGCGGGAAAGGGAGTAAACGGAGGCCGTTCGTGACGCATTTCACGGGGTGTCAGCCTTGTAGTGGTGACCATAACAAGATGTACGATGGTGACACGTGTTGGAATGGGATGATCAAAGCCATTAATTTCGCTGATAATCAAGTGATGCGTAAGTATGGTTTCGTACACTCGGATCTAGGCAAGACTTCCCCTCTTCAACATGTACCGTTCGATTATCCTGATGAGCCTTGGTGATTTTTTTTTTTTTTAGGTTTTTTTGTTGAATATTGTGTGTTGTGTTTTTTTTTTTTTTTTTTTTAAAACTCTTTAGATGTGCTTTTATAATGAGTTTATTATTATAATCCATGAATCAAAAAGGTTTATAATGAGGAATCTTTTTGAATAATTTAATGATTCTTGGTTTAGGGAAAAGTTTAAAGAGCTTTTGATGATGGAGAAAAATGTATTATTGTAGCCTTTTTGGAGCAAATGAGATAAAGAAAACAATAATTACTTGTATTTTTTCGACTCATATAATTGTACTTAAAAAAAAAAAAACAATAACCGAATTATACCAAAGTTAGATCGTTGTTGGCCAAATTAAGATCGGTACTTTCGCTAATACCAGACCAAAACAAACCAAACTGAACTAAATCGAATGTAATCATTCAAATTCAACCAACAGAAAAAAAAAACTGAATTTACTAAAACTTTAAAAAACATCAGTTAGTTATTATTTTGAGGTTTTAAACTTAAATGAAACAAATAAAGAACCAAAGTTATTTCTAGTTAATTTTATAGTATTAAAAAATTATTTTTTCAAAATATTATATGTTTCTATAATCCATGAATTGTGTGAGATCCCGGTTGCGGAGATGTTTAAATGAATTGATTTGACCACCTATTGTCACCAAAAGTACACTAATCTTTTCGGTCAACGGTCCTGACATTGTTAAGCGTGGTTATACTGAAGTAGTAAAAAAATGAGTGACTTTTCGGGAAGTGGTTGTCGGAACTGTATAAGTGAGGCCAAAACACAAAGAAATATCATGTGGTGATTTATAGGGACGGTAAACAAGACTTTTAGTCTCCCAGACGTAGCTAACCAGCCGTCGGGTATTAATAGGCTCATGAACCTAGTGAGAGAACGTGAAACCCATTAAGAAAATAGGTTCATAGACTGATAGTGAACATGGGGCCTACCGAAGAATATGCGCATTACAAATTGAGAGGTTAAGTAATACAGAGGAGTCGATTAAACTAATAAATTTTTAAAAATAATTTAATTATTCTTGGTTTTGGGTAAAGTGTAAAGAGCTTTGACAGAAATGAGATTATTGTAATTTGTAGGGTAATCGAACATAAAGAAAACAATAATTACTTTTCCCCTTTATAATCTGAGTACACTTCATCGTGGGTGGGATTCTAGATATTTGTCTTTTGAAATTCTATCAAATCTGTGTTATTTACTCCGGTAGCTTTGCATTTGCAAAATTTTCAAAAGAAAAAAAAGCTCTACAAAGATTAAATTATTCTATATTAATCCAAAATGCTCGAAAATTCCAATAAGAGATCTCTCTTGGCCATAATTATTTCTAACACAATATCAGCAAAGCTAACGATGATGTGATCAATCTAACAAGGTGATTTTACTTTACCTAAATTAGACTTCTTTAAACATCTCTTTCAAACCAAATAGTGGTCTTTTCAAACTCCAAAATCTTATAAGCCTATCCCCCATACCAGTTGCAATCTCTATGGGGATATTCCTTGTTTGATCGAAAGCCTTATTTTTGTCTCAAGAGGCTTGATATTTCAGCTAGTGAATCAATCTTTGCAAGATGGGCTTGATAGCATGAGAGATTAACACATTTTACTTTTCTATACCATGTGACATGTGATTCGATTACCCTTAAATATTAGTCAAAAATCATTCTAAATTCAGAATAAATAGTGTGGTGATCTTTGGAGGAGAAGTTCACTATAAGTATTTCACTAGATTTTATAAAAACATGAATGTTTTATTTCGTATTTTTTTAATTTCTATAAAGAAAATATAAAACAAATAAAAATCTGGATTAACAAACAATCTTGGGTTAAATAGTACTTTTTAGTGTTAGGGCATCTTCCGTGGCAGTCCTAATAAAAATGCTAATTAGTTTTATGAACCAATAATAAAATAATAAAATAGAAAAGGGTTCATAATTAAGAGAATCGGTCTCTCTTTCGGCAATGGAAGAATCGTTCATTCTTTATTCTCTTGGATTAACGAACAATTTTGATTAAATAGTATCTTTTAGTGTTAGGACATTTTCGGTGGCAGTCCTGATAAAGGTGTTAATTAGTTTTTTGAACCAATAATAAAATTATAAAATAGAAAAGGGTCCATAATTAAAAGAATCGATCTCTCTTTAGGCAATGGAAGAATCGTTCATTCTTTCTTCTCTTACAGTATAAATAACGTAAATTGTTATTTTATTATTTTAATTTAACTTTTATAATTAATTTAATTAGAAACATTTTTATGCGTTTTCTTAATGGAGGTGGTCTTAGGGTTTTTTTTGGTAACTTCATAAATTAGTTCAAATTTTGAGATTTATTTCTGATATTGTTATCTCTTCCTCTCTTACATTTTTAGGTGGAAATTATCTCTTTTAAATTATTATTTTTTCTTCCTTTATCCTTGTTTTTTTTAGCTTTGGATAACTTTCACATCACCACAAATATTTTCTCCTTCAATGTCTACACCTCTTCAAACCAAGTACACTCTATCTCCCATCACAAACAACATCCCAAGATGCCACCGTCCATGGCTTCTCCGTTTACGTGTCACGTGCTTGTCTCAGTCCAGCCATAAAATGAAGCTTGTCGTTGAGCAGCGACTTGTGAATCCTCCTGTCATCTCCACCGACCCAAATCTTCAATCTACATGGACACACCGCTTATGGGTTGCAGCAGGCTGCACCACTGTGTTTGCCTCTTTCACCAAATCCATCATTGGAGCGTTTGGTTCTCATCTCTGGCTCGAACCAGCTTTAGCCGGTTTAGCCGGGTACATTATAGCAGATCTAGGCTCTGGTGTATACCATTGGGCTACTGATAACTACGGTGATGAGTCAACTCCTCTAGTAGGAACTCATATCAAAGACTCTCAAGATCACCACAAGTGGCCTTGGACAATCACTAGACGTCAATTTGCAAACAATCTACATTTCTTGGCTCGAGGCGTGACCTTGATAGTTCTCCCAATAGATCTTGCGTTTGACGACCCTGTGGTTCATGGCTTCGTAAGCACGTTTGCGTTTTGCGTTTTGTTTTGTCAGTTGTTTCATGCTTGGGCTCATGGTACCAAGAGCAAGCTCCCACCTCTTGTGGTCTGGTTGCAAGACATTGGTCTGCTCGTTTCACGGACACGTCACGTGAGTCATCACCTAGCACCGTATAACAACAATTACTGCGTAGTGAGTGGGGCGTGGAACAATGTTTTGGATGAAAGCAAGGTCTTTGAGGCAATGGAGATGGTGTTGTATCTTCAACTTGGGGTGAGACCAAGGTCATGGACAGAAGAAACCGACATATCCAAATGCTAATCTCTCTTATGTATTAACTTATAAGACTTATCTTATTGTCCAAAATCAAATGGCTCTTGTGTATTTTAAAATATTGGTAGACCAAAATTTTGAATAGTGTATACTTTTGTGTTGTGGACCAATTGATTCAAGATTCGTTATTATATGTATCCTATGATATAATTGTTGACAAAAACAAAAATAAAGATATGTATAACTAAAGCAAAAACCATGTTAATCCAAGAGATTGTTCACATTGCTTTTACACCTAACAATTATTTAGTAAACAAGAAAATAAAATAGGTAGCACACCCACGTTGACATTTCAATGCCATGAAATGAATCATCCCATACCATTCCTAATAACGCACATTTATTTCACTTAAAAGTCAAAAAACCAAATAAGCCGCAAACGAAGATTCATAAATACCCAAAAACGCATTTGACCCACGCTTTTAAAACGTTGACATATCAATGCCTATCCACACATATATAAATACTTGTGTACACACACACACACAAGCCATCAAGATAAGACATTAAGCTTCAAATCATTTTGTTGTGTATTGCAAAAACTTAACTTCTGATCATCTCCCATGGAAGCTACTTCACAGCCATGTTTCTCTCAGAATTACCACTCCTCGCTCCATTCGATCCGTAAGGAACCAGCAAAGCCTTGGAAAAAACCTGTAACAGGGTTGTCTCAGCGTATGCATCCTAAAGTTTACCGAGTCGAGCCTGTTAACTTCAAGGAGTTGGTTCAGAGACTAACTGGTGCACAAGACCATGAGCCAGAGGTAAATCAAGTTGAGCTTAAGCCACTCAAGGTTTCTGATGAGGCAGTAACAACTAAGGACAACCCGTTGGCTTTTGATCTTTCACCGTCATCATCTCGGTTCTGGGAAGCTTTCCCTCTTCTCAGTCCTGCAAATCTTTCAAGATGGTAGCAAGAAAATAAAAGTTTCCTTTGATTATAATTCTTGCCAATTTTTTGGCAATTCTTGATGTTGTTTCCAACGAATTAGACCTGTAATGACTTTTTATGATCTTATCTATAAATACAAAGGTTACTGTTACATTAACAAACTGACACCAATGTTTCAAAAACGACTTCTTCGAATATCTGTTTAAGAATTTACGCGCTACCTATTGATCCCAGTAGTTTCGCAGCTGCGACATGTGAAGAAGAAGCTCATCTCTTCCTAAACCGGATACACTACTAGTCAAAATCCAAGGAGGATGTACTTTAAAATTCTCTCTAATGATTTGTTGGAAAGCTTTGATGTTCTCATCAGGTCTTTTCCCTTTCGCCGCCTTCATTTTATCGCATTTCGTAAACACAAATGTCATCGGCACCTGAAATACATCAAAATCAAGAATTAACAACTCACTTAACTGAGAACTTTGTACCACACAAAAGCCAAATTACCACCACATACATTGTTGCGACCAAGCCAATTAGCACAATCAAGATCAATCTTCTGAGGAGGAACACTTGCATCAATCAGAAGAAGAACACAAACAAGTGTGTCTCTATTCAAAAAGTAACCTTTAGTAAACGCAGACCAATCCGTCTTTGCAGCATCTGACACTTTAGCAAATCTGCAAATACACTCTTAATATCAAACAACAAGCCAAGAACATTGAACCAGAGTGCCAAATCCTAGCTGCAATATCAAACAAAGATCGTATTTTTCTAAAAGCAAGAGATCAGATACATACCCATAACCAGGTAAATCCACAATGTACCAACTCTTATTCACCAAGAAGTGATTTATAAGCTGAGTCTTCCCTGTTTCCAAAATAAAAATCGAAACTTTCAGAGTTCCAAAGTTAAAAATCGAAACTTTCAGAGTTCCAAAGTTAGAAAATCGAAACTTTCAGAGTTCCAATGTTAAAAAGATCGAAACTTTCAGAGTTCCAAAACCAAAAATTTGGATTCTTTAAAGCAAAACAGAGAAGAGAAACACAAACCAGGTTTCTTGGAGGTAAGAGCAACTTCTTTCTTACGAACCAAGCAATTGATAAGAGAAGACTTGCCAACATTAGAACGACCCAAAATAGCAATCTCAGGACGATCATCTTTAGGACAATCTCTAGCTCGAGCACTACTCTTAACAAATTCAACTTCTTTGATTTGTGAATGACCCGCGAATGGTCCGATTACGATGTTGGAGCCCGGAAGAACCATATCATCTGTTAACTCCTCGATCTCTACACCAGGAGGTACGAACAACACGGACTTTGCGAACTTGGCCGCATCGGATATGGAACGGTTCGTTGATGTTGTTGTTGGGTTGTTCAATGATGCTGAGATTCGTGGGATGGATATGAATTTGGGGTTACGGAATGAGTGGAGAGTGTGGAGTTTGTGAGATTTGGGTACTAAAGGAGTGAGATGTATTGTTAAGGATCGATATCGGAGTAGTAGCACCATCTTGTTTGGGCAGAGAGAGAGGTCTGTGTTTGGGTTTAGAGTGAAGAAGATAGGGTTTTGAGTTTGTAGACCAGAGTGGTTTCTTCTGTGTCAGGTGGAGGCTTTCATTTTTTTTTGTCAAACTTTGTAATCACTAGGTAATGTCCCGCGCATATGCGCGGGTTGTTGTATATTTATTTAATTATTTTAATTTATTTGTTACTTATAAAAAATAGATTAAATAAATTTTAATGCTTATGAAATTTTTACATGTTATTTATTTAAATTATACAATAGAAGCATACATCCATATCTTTTGAATTTATTCGTTGATTAATTATTCAATTAATCAATTTTGATAGTAATTTTCTTTAGTACTTTTAAGTATTATTTGATAAAACAATAATATTGTTAATGATAAAAATAAGAATGATATTGGGAGAATTTAAAAAATACCCCTTTAAAAATACCACTTTTTAAATTTACCCCCTTTTCAAACTTTATCAAAACAACCACTAAAAATGTTGAAATTTATCCAAATATGTGTGTAAACTTATAAATATACACAAAAAATTACCTTTATTTGTGTATAAAATTTTATTTATTTCATTGTCTTACAAATTGGTTTGAA